AATTAGGGTCCCTTTCAGGGTCCTTTCTATAAGGGTGCCGTACTACTTTGGGGACCTAAACGGGGACTCTAATTTAGAGAACTACTCATTTCGAAAATGAAAACAAGCTTCAATCGCCCAATAGTCCTAATCCCTATAAATGCTGTAGGACCCTGTATGTAATTAGGAACTCCCGACCCCCCCCCCCCCCCCCCNNAAAATCCTAAACCCTGACGGTTTAGGGATTAGGGTTTAGGACCCAAAGCCCTTTTTGACCCTGAGCCCCCTTCCGAGTGGGCGGCAGCGCCGTCAACCCAAGAGTGGCCAGCTGTCGATTCAGATCCCCTGCGCTTTTTCCAAGACTCCGGTTACCAAAATAACAAACTAGAGTTTAGGGTTGAGGGCTAGTAGGGCTTTGGGTTTAGGGTTCCCAAAATAAAGGGCTTAGGGTTTAGGATTCCCCAAATCGAGGGCTTAGGGCTTAGGGTTTTGGTTTTCTGGGATACATGATATAAGCTTAATAACCTACTATTCAAGCAGCTGCTGCCCTGGGGCTAGGTTGCGTGGTTCAGGTCCCATGATGAGGGTTTAGGGTTAAGTCCTATTGCGGGCGTCCCGGGTTTAGGCTCGAGGGTTTAGGCCCTATGAGGGGGGTTTAGGAAGTTTAGGATGAGGGGTTTAGGGGGCAAGTGTCGATTTGTGCCGTCACTGTTATCTTAAACCTCGGGGTTCTCTGATAGTCGAGGCTCTTGCATCCAGAGTGTTTCGACTGCCTGGGTCGCCGCTTTTCTATGGCCTACATCAAATTGATCCATGTTTAATACATCCTCACGATTTTAAAGTGAAGGTATCTTATTCAATGACTCTCAGTTATTTAGCTGCAAAATCACGAGGTGGGGGAGCGAAGCTTGCAAATTGGGTTTCAAGATCAGCACTTAGCTACTTGACTCACGTATCAGCTTGAGGGAAGTGTGGTCCGGGGGGCGTCTTTCACTTTCCCATATGTGGAACCAACAGATCATCCTAACTTTCGCAGCGCTGCACCTCGAAGTTTGAGGGTCTTAGGCTTGACGCTCTCACGGCTCGGACTTGCCAGGCCAGGATCCATAAGTTACAGTCGGTGTGACACTATTGCAGGGCGACCTGGCCTTAGGGTTTCAGGTTTAGGGTCTGGACATATGGGAGTTTCCGACAAGTAGTAGGGGTTACCTTATTTTGGGGTCCTTATAATAAGGATCCTGCCATTTAGGGTCCCTAGGGTACTATATTAGGGTCCCCCTATTTTCGGAAACCCCCATATCTAATCTATGTTGCTCTGAAGAAGGACATACTGTAGCACATGTAGCACTACTAGTCTTGTCTCAAACAAGCCCCAGCCCGAAAAACGCTTGCACCCCAAGCGTGTGATTGAACCTCGGAGAACATAAGGCTCCTCAGCAAAGCCCAAAGCTTCAAACCTCCGTTAACACTCCACACCCTTAAACCCCAAACCCTGAACCCTAAGCCCTAAACCCTAAACCCTAAACCCCTTGACCCTAAACCCTGAACCCTAAACCCTCTGAAGCCCTGAACCCTCTGAAGCCCTGAAGTCCTGAAACCCTGAGTCGCTGGCCTGAGAGGCGATCGAGGCTCGCACCAAGGCTCTCCTGTTCCTCCGGCAGTTTGGGAGGTGACCCCTGTAGACCTTTTTTTGGGAGGTTTAGGGTTTAGGGCTCTTCTGGGGTTTAGGGTTTCGGGCTTTTTTTGGGGTTTAGGGTTTAGGGCTTTTTGGGGTTTAGGGTTGAGGGATTTGAGGTTCAGGGATTCAGAAACCACCTCTTCCTGAACGGGATTACGAAGCCGCCTTTAACGGGTGTGGTATATGTCTATAGGGTTCACCCAAATGAAGAAGCGCACCTGGACCCCGTAAAAAAACCAACCACGGCCCTGATCTTGCCGAAAGAAACGTAACTTAGGGTTTAGGGCCTAAGGTTCGGCCAAGAATATGCGGGTCAAAGTCGATGCAGGTTTTTATGTCTTTTGAAGGCCTAACAGGGGGTAGGGTGCGTAATTGAGGGAGGTCAATTGTAGCACATGCAAGCTCAATGCGAAGCCGTCATCCCCAAGCATCGTGATTTCAAGCTCCCGGTATGACTTTCTGGTGTGTACCTTTCAATGTACTCGAGCTTGTTTCCGATTTTGTTGAGTTGCATTTTACCCCAAAGCTCTTGATAAGTAAGGTATGGCTGAAAAGGGGCTCTTCCAATGGTGCTCAGCCCGCCCTAAAACTGACCATTTTCGGGCTTGGAATTCAGGGTCTTAGGCTTCAGCGGTTCAAAAAGTTCCGATCTAAGTGCAGTGTTCTTCATCTGAGCGCCCTGCTGCGGTCAGTGCTTGCGCGCCCGCAGTGAGGGAGTTCACTGCCTCACAGCACATTCCCGACCACACTTACAGCTTACAAAGACTTACTGAGTTGGGCTGCTTCTCTACCTATAGTCTCCATTGTGGCACTTTTTGCTCTTCCTATAGGATCTGAAAAAAGTAGCATTGGTTCAATCAAAACAGGGACCCGCGATGGAGACTATGCGGAAGGACTCATAGTTCCAGGGCCCGGCTGTTGAGGCCATGCTGGTGACCATTCAATCCAAGGCTGCAGGGTAATGTAGGGGCCTTAATAATTAGAATAGGTTTTTGGGTTATATTATACTAAATTTAAATTTAGAATAAAAAGCACCCAAATAGTATAGGTAAATATTAAGGCCCCTCTGGCAATGTTGAGCCCGAGAGGTGGGGTTCTGGAGCCTAGGGTTTATAGTTTATAGGGTTTAGTATTTAGGGTTTATTCATCGATACCGGCCGAAAAAAAAACATGCCACCAAGCTCTCTACGACTTTTTTGTAGCTTTGTGGATGGGAATATGAGGCTTTCTGATGCCGACGCTGTGCTCTGGGTGTTGGGCTCTTACTTGCATGCCTATAAAACCCTAAACCCCAAATCGTGGGTGGACCCTCTCTTGAGTTCGAGATGCCAGCTGTGAAGAAACGAAGCTCCCAAAGCTGAACCGCAAAAAATCGAAACCGCCGTTGCTGCCGCTCAACGAGCTTCAGGGCTTAGGGTTTAGGGTTTTATAGGCGTCTAAAACGGTTTAGTGAAGAACGGCTGAACAGCAAGCTCTCCATGCGATTTCTGTTGCATACACGAAGCCATCCAGATCCGATGAAAAACGAATGGCGAGCCCAAGGCCCGCCCCAAAACGAAAGTGACACCGGACACAGTGTAGTTCATGTAGGGGCCTTAATAGTTAGAATAGGAGTTTGGGGGTTCCTTATGATAATTTTAGTGTAATATACCCCCAAACCCCATTCTAATCATTAAGGTCCCTATATTATCCCGAAATGGGCGTCAACCCCCAACTGTAGAACTATCACGGCCATGAGCTTTACTCTTGTCAGTGGCGCTACAAGAGGCTCTGCCTTTGCTATCTGATGTTGGAGGCATTGGTTGCGAGACCTACAGTAAACCCCAAACACTAAACCCTAAACCCACACATGGGATGAATCCTTGCTCTGCCTCCGCAGCATCCAGCACCAGCCGATCCATCTTTGGCACCTTCGAACAATCTGCAGAACAACAAGAAACATTGGCAATTTAGCGTCTGATAAAACTTGGCTGCTTGATGAGGCTTTACCCTAAACCCTAAAGCCCGAAGTCCTAGGCTCTAAACCCCAAAATCAGAGTTTGCAGGACTTGGTGGGTTCAAGGCTTCGGACGTGGAGTTCAAATGACATCAGCTTGCTTTGAGCACGCAGCTCGCTAGAACCCACGTTCTTTAAGGCTGCCGAAATGAGGATATAGGTGTTTGGTTAGGGTTCAGGGCTCACAGTTTACAGGTCGTACAGGGTTTTCGGGCTCGCAACTTTGGCGTATCGAGTAATTATCCCGCAGCCTGAAGCATGGTGGATTCTTCTAGAAACGTTGACCTTAAAACCCCAAGGCTAAAATTTAACCCTCGTCTTTTGTTCAGGGTTCACCGGCCCGTGTGCTTGTGATTCTTTGCATTAGACTTCCAAGCTTCGGGTCCGAAGAATTTCGGGGAATCGCGGGTTGCTTCAAGTCTTCACCCGGCTCGGATCTCTGGTCTCTAATGTCGGGGCCGTAATAATTCGACTAGGGTTTTGGGAGTTTTGGGGGGTTCCTTGTTAGCATTCTGGTATATTAAGCCTACTCTAAGTGTTAAGACCCCTATACTAGGTCATATGGAATTAGTGGGGCCGCCCAAGGCGACTCTAACTAACCAAGCCCTGTAGCCACCGCAAACTGTCGACCGCGACGTCAGCAGAAGGGTCGAACACTGCCCCAATGCAACACCACGCGTTGGGAAACTTGGGGGATGTTTGAGGGCCTATAGAGCTAAACCCTAAACCCTTGACCCTGAAGCTACTAAACCCTAAACCCTAAACCCTAAGCCCCAAACTTTCAACCCTAAACTCTGAAGCCACCTAAACTCTAAACCGTTCATGGCTGACTGTATATCTATACCATACTGTAGCTAAGCTCCGACTGCTGCGGTTTCGGATGTTCGGGTTTAAGTTATTATCGCACCCCAGGTTATAAGGTTTTCAGGTTTAGGATAGTGGGGTTCCTGATATTCGCTGCGTTCCTCTAGGCCTTCGGCTTCAGTGTTTCGGGTGTAGGATTTGGAGCGTCAGCTCAAGACATCGGATTTGTTTAGGATTTAGGGTTGTTGTGCTTGAGTTTCAGGCACCTGGTTTACGCTCGCACACTCGGACTCGCCAAATGAGGTTCCGGACTCGCAGTCAGCTTTCAAGCAGGAAACCGACGACACGCGTGCTCGTGTTAAGTAAACGAGAAACTCCGCCCGTCTGAGTCAATTGCACGTGTCGCCGGTCGGAATCGGGCAGGACAGTCCCTGCCAACCAATAAAACAATCAAACTATCAAGACAGTACTAACAGAAACACGATCGTAGTCGAGACATTGTGAACCCCTACGGTTACAGGACTTACTACAGACAGCCAGTCCTCAAGCTGGCCTAAACTCTGGCTTCAGCACGTAGAACGAGATCCGAAGCTCAGCATCGATACTCATCAGAGCACCGGCATTGTCGAACTCACGGCAGTAGTTGGGAGCGGAGAAAATCGTTACGACTTGCCTTCCCGCGAAGAACTCGTAGCCGTCCTCCACAACCTGATGTGCTCTTGCAATAAGATCCAAGTTGTGCTTTTTCAAGAAGGCCTTCACGACTACCGGACCAAAGGTGAATGAGACACCTCGATCGTTCTCTCCCCACTTCTCCACACCGGGAGATGGATCCGACCACAGAAGATCCGCAAGAAGACCTGTGTCGCCAACTTCGACTGGGCGCTGGATTTGCTCGATCTGGTCGAAGCTAATCCTGGGTGTCAGTTTTGTACTTAGCTGTTCTGATTCTTCTTAGTATTCTTGTGATTTCTATGAGTCGTTACTATTATTGATATGATTGCTAATTTTAATACTAGTATGATGATGATGGTGACGTTGATGATGCTGACCGTTATTACTATTAATACGACCCTTATCAGGGTTATTATTCCTACTATTATTGAAAGTACTATTCTTACTGAGTATGAATGTGACCAATGCTATGACTGTTGCTAATATTTTCCTATTACGATTATACCATTATGGTTACAATGACTGTTAGCATTACTATTATTGCCAAACGACTGTCGTTAACATCATTATCATTACTATTCTAAAAACTAAGCCAACGAGGAACATGCGAAAACAAAAAAAAAAACACATTCCCTAAGCCGTTCCCTAGGGTCAGATCCGGTGACAAGCCACCGTGCATGCACACAATTCGATCATCGATGAGCGCGCAAACAGGCATATACTGAAACGCATCTCCGAAGCTTGTCCATAGCTTGACGCTGTAGCGCCTCTTGCACTCTTCATAAAAGCCATAGATTCGGTTGATGGATGCGCATTCATGATTGCCCCGAAGCATGAATATCTTTTCCGGATACTTTGCCTTAAATGCAAAGAGGAGTGCAATACACTCAATGGAGTTCTTTCCCCTGTCAACATAATCACCAAGGAAGAGGTAGTTTGCATCTTCAGGGGAGCCTCCGAAGGTCAGCAAGCGCAAGAGGTCGAAATATTGGCCGTGCACGTCGCCCGCCACCTCATAGTATATATATATATATATGTATGTATGTACATATATACATATATGTATACATATATACATATACATATATATATATATATCATACAGGATATTACAACGTTTAATAATATCGTAGCATATAGTATGTTATGGTATCTAGTATAGTATAGCAAATAGTTATAGTATAGTCGAGCCTAGTCTAGCATAAAATTTACTAGACTCTTACCTTTCGGCCAGAGGCTCCTGCATAGGGGCAGCCAGATGCAGGAGCATGTCCTGCTCAGCGAATTTCTTACGTGCCAGGTCGATGAGATTGAACAGATCACCCTCATCCATGGGCACTTGCCTGCCGTCTACTGGCGATTCTTTCTCAAGTTGGAGGAGATCTCCAATGATTTTGTCGACGTCGACATCGACGACCCCTCTGCGTCTCTTTGCCTCCCGATCCGGCGGAACCCAACCACCGGTCAGATCCCACTCGTGCCCTGGTGGCATTGCGCGCGCCCTGAGCGAGACGGATCTCTGTCCCGGGAGTTGAGTGAGTGTTCCGCCAATGGCACCGTTCATTCAATAAAGCTCCAAACTAGCAAGACTACATAATTTCAACAAGAGTAGCTGTTTAGTCTACCAAACTCAAGGTTGGAGCAACCTCATCATGTTGCTACATGCGCCTGAAAGCTGACTGAGCCGAAATGGCCAGGGCTTAAGTTTAGGGCTTGGGTTTAGGGGGTACACTCACTGCTCTGCTGTTTGCTGTTGGGGTCCAGTATGCACCCTCAGTGCCAAGACAACAATATCTGGATTCATAAGCTTGATTAGTTCCCGGTTCAGCCACAGCAAAGAGGCATGCACAAACACAGTCCAACCTTGTGGGAACTTTGTCTACAGCGGCAGTGTCGAGCGAAAGCACTCGCTCACAAAATCAAGCTACTTGTAGTCTTGTTGTCAGAAGTTCTTATACTGGTCTGCCTAAGTGTACAGAGAGAAGCCTGTTAAGTGCCAGGAGGTCTACTCACGGCTTTGGGGGAAATCACCCATCCCCAGCTAAACCTAACAAGGTTTCAGGGCTCTGGGTTTAGGGCTTAGGAGGGTTTAAGGTGTAGCGTTTTTTGAGTTTCGGTCTTAGGGTATAGAGTTTAGGGTGTCGGTGAGAGATCTTGGGGCTTCCGGTGTTTGGCGCTCAGGAAGCTGTTCGGGGTTGGATTTCGACTTTCTCGCTCGGCTGGGACATCTGGACGAAGGACGGGATTGTTAATGACCATAATGTAGGGGCCTCAATAATTAGAATAGGGGCATATTATACTATGATCATAAAAAGGAACCCCCAACATTGTATAGGTAATTAATGGGGCCCCTATAGTAGGCGCTTAAGGCTTGTGGGGTCTAGGGCCCTGCTGCACCAAACACCCAGAGCGCCTAAGCACCGGAGGATCCATCTTGGCAAGCTTTCGCGTAAAGGGTATACCCATAATCATGGAAGCCCTGAAACGTGAAAACCTGAGCCTATTTGTTCGTCCGAAACCGAAAAGCAACAACAACTCCTAATCTGAACCTAACACATCCGGGACTGATGAGTAGTATACTACAAGATACTATAGTATACTATATATATATATATATTATATACAATCTACCGTATTAAACTGATGAGTACATCTGATTTGCGATCCCGAAATATACCCCCTGCTGCGTTTGCACACTTCCTCTCGGCTTCCAACCCTTGCTGCATTGAACTCGGCTAGGGACCGCAATCGTTGGCAGGCCGAACCTCACCGTGGTGTAGAGCGTCTGAAACTCGAAGGTAAGAAGTATGGGCCCCTCATATGGACCCTTAGGCCTTTCTAGGGACCCGTAAGGGTACATATAGGGTATATAGTAGGTATATAAGGATCCCAGCCTTAAGGGCCCATACTAGAGGCCCATAGGTTCAACCCTAAAGAAACAGTGCCCCGTAATGCAAACCCTATCCGTACATGCGAAGGCTGTCCATTATGGATCGGAGCTACCTATTCTTATGTGTGCGTTGGCTCACTATTCCGTATCATGGCCCTAAACCCGTTTTGGAACCCAGACCCTGCCAATCAGGGAAGCAGCACTTCCAGACAGGCCCAAACCCTGAACTCTAAACCCTCTCTTGATGGACCGAACTTCAGCGCTCGCATTTCCCACCTCCCTGAAAAGCTGCTCCTCTCCCCTAAATCCTAAAACGAAGAAAGGGAGACATGTCGCTTGCCCCGCCAAAGCCCACTGCAGCTCTGCAAGAGCTGAGCTATGGACAAAGGAGCTCAACCTGGCCAGGGACAGGAAGGGCATCCAATCCGCAAGCTAAACGGCTAGCATGCCAGCATACCATCACAACGGTGTATTGGCACAGCGAAAGGGATCAACGCACGGGGTAAAAAAGAAACAATTAAATATCGTGCCCCTCTGAAGGTCTACCCTGCGACCTTGCTTGCTTCTGGGTTGAGGGGATTCGAGGGGCTGACCTACTCGTCAAACCTATGCTAGTAGTAGCACCGCTCGAGTTTTATAGCCTTCTAGTGATGATGGTGAGACTTGCTACATCAGGATCAAAGGAGCTTCAACGCAGTCAACCTCCCTCCATACAATTCAGGAACAAGTATCAGTTGAAAACAAACCGAAGAATAGGCAATTAAACAAGCACCTACGATATTCAAAACTGTGTATGAGCATGTACGAACATGTATGTATGTATGTATGTATGTATGTATGTATGTATGTCTGTATGTCTGTTATTCTTATATACACGTATAAATTCATACCTCAAATGTGCGTAAAACGTGGTCCCATGCAAGCAATGTTAGAGGAAGTACGAGCAAACTAATGACTCACAGGGCTTGGGCTTTTCTAGATTTCCAGCTCAGGCTCTTCATGTAGGTCTAGCACAGAGAAGTGTTTTTACAAAATGCCGACTCAAAAAACCCTAAACCCTAAACCCTAACCCCCAAAATTAACCCTGAACCCTAAACCCTTGAACCCTAAACCGAACCAGCTCGAGGATCCTAAGAAGTGCCCAAGTGCTCTTGGCCTGGGTCTCCAAGTCCCGCGCATACGTCGCCCTGAGCAGATGCACTCGTGGGGTTTACTTGCGATACCGAGGACAACAGAAGTTCTCTAAACTAGGGTCCTATATTGGGGGCCTAAAAAGGACACCCTAAATTTAGAGAACTACCTACAGGGGGAATCCTGCTTGCTAGATTGGGAAGTCTGGGGCTTGCCTAGTTTTGTCGTCTCCCAAAGGTTTTCGATCATGCGCTGTTGGCTTCTCCGCCGTCCCTCCGATGAATGCGGAGGGCTTTAGTGAGGGGTTTCAGCTGGGCTCCAAGGCAAGTCTGAAGGGGCTCGGGCGCGCTGAGGTGATCGTCATGATCAGGAACCCTATAAGGAAGCCTAGTCTAAATTAGAACCAGGTCCTGTAAGTAGAGTAGCAGTAGTAGTAGTAGTAGTAGTAGTAGTAGTAGTAGTAGTAGTAGTAATAGATTCAAGTTAAGGCCTTGGCAGAAGACCCTGAACAACGCCCGCTCTCTCGACAGTAAGGGGCTTCAGGAGCTGACCCATAGGCTCCATTGTGTAGGATGGAGGGCCAGGAGCACTGAATGTTTCGGGTGGAGGGCTTTGAGGTTGAGGGGTACACTGCAGCTGCGACTGACCCCTCCGTGGCATGGGTGCAGGGCCTTCATCATTTTGGCCCAAAGTAGCTGGGTAGTCTTGTATGTTAGGAAGCTGGTGCAGCTTGTGTTTGTTTGGTCATGTCAAGCCTCAAGGATAACTACGGCTGTACACCTGGAAGCTATACCTCTAGAAAAATGCAGTCTCAGTCCTGAGCTCCTGTTTCAGCACGGACTGAGGTGCCGGCCAGCGCCCATGCAACCTTACCCCTTCAACCCCAAAACACTCTGCCACAAAACTTTAATCCTGAACCTCTTAAAGGTTTAGGGTTTAGGGGTTTTAGGGGTTTTAGGGTTTTGGGTTTAGGGCCGCTCAACCCTGAAACCTTGCATAGCAAAACCCCAAATCCCATCAACGATACCCAGGTCTCCCGACCATCTCCCGTAGCGCTCCCGTGCTAAGGCCGTCCGGATGCCCTGCCTCAGTAGAGTTTTTCGAGTGTTCATTTCACGATTGGGATAGGGTTTGGGGTATGTGTTAAGATGATGAGTGAGGAACTTTAGGGGGAACCTTTTGTCACAAGGGGCTCGACTGCTACCCTTGTTTCGCGATTTTGGCCGATTGGGGTTGATGGCTTTGGGGTCTTGGATTGGTGCTTCTTGCCTCCCACCTAGCTAGGACGAAGCCCGCACTGCAGGGTAAAGTCGAGAGCTCAGTTGCCTTTGCGATTTGGAGGGGCTCTCGAAAAAAGGGGACCCTCATATAGTACCCCAAATAGTAGGA